CGCCCCGGGCACGGGTCGGGGGAACGTCGGTCATCCCCTGCCCGGTCGTTGTTGCAGGCTACCAGCACATCCGCATGTACGACCTCAACTCCAACAACCCCAACCCCGTCATTAACTACGACGGCGTCAGCAAGAACATCACCTCCGTGGGCTTCCACGAGGACGGGCGGTGGATGTACACGGGCGGGGAGGACTGCATGGCCAGGATTTGGGACCTGAGGTGGGCAGAGGCGGCGGTGTGACCCCCCCCAACCCGCCTCTGGCAGCACCCCAGAGAGAGATTGCACGCTCTTAAACGCGCTGCTTCCTCACTGTTCTGTTGCAGGTCTCGTAACCTCCAGTGCCAGCGGATTTTCCAGGTGAACGCTCCTATTAACTGTGTCTGCCTGCACCCCAACCAGGTGAGCACTGGCCTCTCCGTGATTTCCCAGCTCGTGCTTTGCTGTGGCTCCTCCGGGTAAACCTGAGGGGCTGCGGAGTTTTATACTGGCGGACGCGGCAAAAAATCTGGGGGCTGGCTGGGGAGGGCGGCCTTCCTGGTGGCACAGACCCACAAGTTCTTGGTGGCATTGCTGGATAAGCAGCAGCTGGCTTCCCGCATCCAGGCTGCCCATCTGCCTGGTCCCTTGCTGAGCTGCTGGTGCCAGGAGCTTTGGGTCAGTGGGAGAACAGAGCCCACGCAACACGGGAGCCGGCATGACAGACGCATGGTCCCTCCGTCTGCCCCAGGAAAGCCAACGCTGCTTTGTGCGGTGGAGCAGACCTCCCCGAACAGTGGTGCTGGGGGAGAGCAGGTACCGCAGGCTCACATTGTGCCTGCAGCAGGTGTCCATGCCGCAGCCTGGGGGCTTTGTCCGCTGAGCTCATTTGCCAGCCAGCACAGTTGTGCTAATTACCTGGTGGCTGTTGCAAAGGGACAGCATAGCGGCTGTGCTGGGCCTCTCATCCCATAGGAGGAAATACTCCTTTGGGGCCGTCTGTATCCCAAGAACATAACCAAGGGGATGTGGTGGAATGTGATGGGAGTGCAACTGGTGGCATGGGGTGGGCTGGGAATCTTGAGAGTGGCACCACTGCCAAGAAAAAGCATCTCTGGGCCTGTGGCCCCCATTACCTTCAGGACCTTGGTCAGATTTGTTGGAGATTCACCAGTTGGTTCAGAAGCTGTCGATAAAACAGAGGGATGGCTGGGGTTTGAGAAACGAAGCTAAAAGGGAGTGCGGTGCATTAGAGGGGACGGCGGTGAAAATCAATACATATCATTGCAGTGTTAATAACCTGTCTGGTCCATTTTATATTCACAGTGCTGCAGGGTTTGTTTGCAGACATGGCAGCGCAAACCTTTTTAAAAAGCTGAGTAGTAGAAACGTTTCTTTGCATTTGATTTTGCAAAGGTTTAATTTTGCAGGCCTGGAATTTTGGACCAGATTCGAGATCAGTTATTTGGAACACACTTTATCCAAATACTGCTGATGCACCTATAGTGCTGGTGCTGTGAGAATGCATCATGTTAAAACAAATATTATTGTTGTACATAGATCTTACATGTCAAATAATCACTAGCCAACGTGCTGCTGTGCTGCAGGAGAAGTGTTGGTTTGTGAGCGGAACGCAGTTAATTAGTCCAAAGGTGGCAGTATTTATTCAGATAGCTTCATCGCTCTGCAATTCCCTGCTGCAGTGATGCTGATCTAGTTATCCGAGAGAGATTTCTCATGGCCTGGGTAAAGCCGTGACAGCTTTAGCAATTGCACTTAACACCTGCTAAGAGGGGGCTAAGGATTGAGGTGTCCAGAAGATGCTTCTGCACTGTGCAGTCAGCTAAATATATCGAGCGATGATTGTCTTCCTCAGAAACAAGCTTTTGCTCACAGGTACAAGATTAGCTGCGCCTGATGACCTGATCTCCTCTAGGGATTCTGCTAAAATTATGGACAGCGCAAGACTGTCGATAAAAGCCCTGGTTTTAGTGGAGAGCCGCCAGCATTGTCTTCTGGTCTCAGCATGGGATCGGAGCCAGAACTCCTGACCTTCAGCTGGCTCTTGTCCTTCCCCTGAGAAGGGGAGAGAGAGAAAAAAAAAAACCATTTAGGCTTGTGTTTTTCAGGTATCAGTACACTCTTGAGTGCTTCAGTTGTTCACTGGCCAACTTGCATCTTAATGCCTGCTTCTCAGACATGCTGAAAATCATTTGGCTTCTGTGGATGTTGTTTGGAGCTGTAGCCATGCAACAGTTCTGGAAATCAGGCAGACGCTGTCTGCTCTGGGGTTTATAAAATTAGCAAACACTTCTGTAAAGGTAAACAGCCTTTTTGCAGAGTGTAACGTGAGATGAGTACTGTGCTTGCTCTCAGCGCACAGGGGCAGTCAACAGGCCCCTGGAGCTCTGAAACAGCCCTGTGCTGGGGAATAATTAGGCAGAACAGGACCCTGATGCTTAAATCCAGAGCAAGGTGCCATGTGGTGCTACACGGGCATGGGCTGGGCATCAGCTTGCGGGGTTCTCCTCAGACGAGGCTGCTGTTTTCTTGCAGGCAGAGCTAATTGTGGGTGATCAGAGTGGTGCCATTCACATCTGGGACCTGAAGACTGACCACAACGAGCAGCTGATTCCAGAGCCTGAAGTTTCTGTGAATTCGGTTCACATTGACCCTGATGCCAGTTACATGGCGGCCGTTAACAGCTCGGTGAGCTCTGACAGCCTCGAACGTGGGATGGGATTTACGGTGCTCCGGCAGCTGCTGGGCTGTGCCTCCCATGGGCAGAGGCAGCCGGTCTGCATGTACCGACTTTGCTGTGCTGTGGTCGGGTGTGGAAAATCCAGGCTGCTTTTGGGTGAGTGACCACCAGCCCGGCCACAGATTCCCCTGTCTCGCCACAGGGAAATTGCTACGTGTGGAACCTGACGGGTGGCATTGGAGAGGAGGTGACCCAGCTGATCCCCAAGACCAAGATCCCTGCGCACAACCGCTACGCCCTCCAGTGCAAGTTCAGCCCCGACTCCACGTGAGTGCATGCCAGCCCCTCGCCTATCTGCGATGGGAACAGATGATCCTTTCTGGGCAGGCAGAGGCCAGTTGTGCCTCCAGCTGTTGGCTGATGCTGGCTTCACACTGCCCTGCAGGTCCCCTGGGGAGGAGCGGGACCGGAGGCACGGGACATGCCGGCACTGGATTGCTCTCAGTGGCATCCCAGCCTCATGCTCTCAGCCAGCTTTGCAGCTGTGAGCTGTTCTTACAGCTGGGATTGAATTGCTGATCTCCAGGAGCAGTGGCGGACTTGGTGTCCTCCTTCACCAAGTCTGTTTGGCTTGAATCTCATAAAGCAGATGAACGCAGGTCTCCAGTTCATTACCGTTCCAGGCCCACATTAATGAGAGCCCCTTAAGCGCACAGCGTGACTGATGAGGTTGCCCTCGCATGTCTCTTCCTTGCAGGCTCTTAGCTACGTGTTCTGCAGATCAGACGTGTAAGATCTGGAGGACTTCAAACTTCTCTCTGATGACAGAGCTGAGCATTAAGAGCAATAACCCAGGAGAAACGTCTCGGGGCTGGATGTGGGACTGCGCATTCTCCGGGGACTCCCAGTACATCGTCACAGGTGAGGCACTGCTGCAATCCTGCCCCTGCCCTTGGCCCACCGCTTGATTTGGACTATGCCAGGCCCCCAGCAGCAGGGCCCTGCACTAGCACAAGACTTACCAGTTTCTCTAGCTGGGATATTGCCAACCCTTGTGCACCAGTGTATGTGAGGTGAGAGCACCCAGCCTCACACCCACAATGCAGTCTACTAACTCCCTTAAGCTTTTTGCCTGTGCTGCAGTAGGGCATCTGTTTAAACTGGAGAGATGATCTTCATGTGTGCAGTTTATTTCACCTGGTAGCAATGCTGCTTGCAGTACGCAGCATGACAGTCCTTTCAAAATATACATGTTGTAATTTCCACAGTAACTTCTCTCCAAAGTAATTAAAACCCCACGTAATACAGGAACACGCTAAGCTTCTTGCTCTGCACAGCTCTCTTACCTGTCATGAACAGCTCTAACAACTGTGTTGAATGAAGCAAGAGGAAAGTCTTCCTTATAATAATAATAAAGAAAAAAAAAGTTTAAAGTGTGATGCAGTATATCCCACTCCTCTTTTCACTTTGTTTCAGCCTCCTCTGACAACCTGGCCAGACTTTGGTGTGTGGAGACAGGAGAGATCAAGAGGGAATACAGCGGCCACCAGAAAGCAGTAGTCTGCCTTGCTTTCAACGACAGTGTGTTGGGATAATGGTCATGTGTGGGAAGGAAAGGACCTCTGCTTGTTTTCCCTTGTCTTACAGTGGCAAGCACCCTCCCTGGAGCCCAAGACACACACTTGTAACCATCCCCTCCTCTGATGGAGAGGACTCGGTCTCTTGCAGAAGCAACTGCATCTGCTTGGAGTGAGACCAGTCTTCAGCTCTGAGCAGATCATTACCGAAACGTGTGTGGCCTCTAAGGGAGGCTGTGTGGACAAAAGGGAATGGGAGGGGGAGCCACGGTCCCACAGAGGGAAGCTGGGTACAGTTCAGCTGGAGGAATCCTTGTGGCGTCAGCTGCTGACAGCTTTGTGATGTTCTTGTACCCCAGAGTGGAAAAAAAAAAATAAATCAGCTTTTTTAAATGATGGAAGAGGCTGAGCAAAGACAGGAAAGGCAGCTGTTTTCTTGTTTTGCAATCCCTTTATTCAAAGCATATTTCACAGACTTGCTTGGAGAGCTGCACTCTTATAAAGCCAGCCACCCCCCAAAAATTTAATGACCTTGTGTTGAACAGGGCATGTAGTCTTAAAACACTAGCTATTCCACATGGTTCCTCTAGGCCCGTATCTCCTAATACCTACGTACAAGATGCAGCCCTGGAGCACAGCTGCAAATAAAATGTCTGTACTGACAGTGCTGAGCAGAGTCCTGTTATTTTTCTAAACTCTCCTGAACCGCAGCATGAAATCAGCAGGAAGCTTTTGGGGGATATTGTAGATATTACCTTCCTTGTTGAAATCAGAGGCTTTTCAGGACTCCAGTTCAAGTATTTAGAGCAGTGAGAGGGCATCCGCAGCTGCAGGACTTACTCAGGGAGGTAATAGAAGCAGATAGACACACAAATGTTGCTTGGAAAACAGATGTCAATGCACAGGTAGATCAGCCGCTGCTTCCCTGGACCTGCCAAATGAGCAAGGACAAAAGCAGGTGAGATGATTGCTTTTTCAGTCCTGCAGATACTAGTCCCTGGGGAGCCAAACAAGTGGAAAGCCTCAGGGAATGACCTTTCTCATTAAAGCTGGAGTAAGAACAGAATTAGAGCTTGGCAGGCTGCTTTTGGCAAACATGAAGGTAACAAGCCAACAGCATCGCAGGGGACTGCTCTGTGTTGTGGTTGTGCCATGCAAGCAGGCTGCGCTGCGCTGCCTGGGGAAGGGGGCTCGGAGCCTTTCCCAGCCAGCACCGTGGTTCACTGCAGGTTGTGGGTACGAGCCAGCGCTTGGTGATGGCCGAGCAACGGTTTGGTACTGAACCAGAGGTCACCTGTCCCTGTCCTGGGCCTCGGCAGCCCGTCCCGGGATGTACATCAGCTTTTGTGCAGCAGAGCCTGCTCCTCTTAGGGGTACTAGAAACAATCGTGCTTCCCTCTTCTGCAAAGGGACACATACAACTCACCTTCCCCTCTCCTGACCCAGAAGATGGATGTCTGTTCACACAGGGTCTGGACAGCTTCCCCCAGGCTTTTGGGGTCCACCTGTTCCCCCGCCAGAATGCCCAGGAACTCCCGGTAGTACTCGGTCTCGTTATTCTGATGTAGCAGCTGATCAGCCTGAAAGAAACATCCCTGTTAATTTTGCCCCTCCTGGCGTTGCCCTCCAGCCCCGCAGAACTGCTCTCGCTCTCAAGGCACGCAGGGAGCACTCCCTACCCCAGCAGTAAGGGCAGGTTTCTCCCGACAGCTGCCCCATCCCACCAGGCTACCGGGATGCTCGCCCTGGCCGGAGCAGCCTCCCAGGGGTGAGGCTGGAGCAGGGACAGCCTGTGGCCCCTCGCTAGCCCTGCAGCTTGGGAAGCGGGGGACGCAGTTCCTCCCAGGCCCTTTGCTGGGCTGCTTTGTCCGCGGACCTGGAGCTAAAACACCCCGTTGTGCCAGGTATCACAACAGCCACAGCCCGCTGGCAGAGGAGCATTGGTCTGACCTGCGTCTGCCTACCTGGTACCACTGGCACCCCCAGGTTTCGGCTGCATCCCAGCCGCGGTGACCCACGGCAGCCCTGTCCCCTCTCCACACTCAGCAGCAGAGTCCCCAGCACCGGGTGTGATGCAAATCGGTGTCCTTCAGCCCTGTGGTGCCTGGGACAGGACGAGGCTGAGCTGGGGCTCCTCAGCGCCGCGTCCCGTTCGATGGGCGAGTGGGCTGCTGGCAGCCCCGGCACCACCAATTCTTTTACTTCCATTAAGGAGCCTCAGAGCCGGGCAGATGCTTTCTTCTTGCATCCCCTTTGGTAGCCTGCTCTCATGGGTGCCGTGTTCCTACGCTCCTCTGGGTTAAATCCTGCCCATCGCTTCCCGGCTGGGTGGGAGCGGCAGGCGAGGGACAAGGAGCCCCCCCAGGAGCCCCCAAGGAAATGGAGAGCAGATGGCAGGGGCACAAAAAATGGGGCCTTCTGTCTTCTTGAAACAGAATCTGCCCCGTGCCCACGCATCCATTAACGTTTTGTTCAGAGGGTCTGTATGGATGATTTACTCCAACTTTTTCCCCTGTGAATTGCTAACAAACCCCCTTTGTTTTTTGTTCCCCAGAATTTTGAGCAAGTAACAGAATCCAGTGGGAGCGGGTCCTCCGAGAGCCCTGCTTTTCACCTCTGTGGGACACAGCCCCCTTCCCTGACCTGCAACTCTGATGTTTCCTACAGAAGATAGGATATTGGTAAAACCGGGAGTTGCTGCTCTGAGCTCACATGCTGAGCCCAGCGCTGCAAGGCAGAGTTCTGTTCCTATGCAAGACACCAACCCAGCCCTTCTCCAAGCAGAATCACACAGAACAGGGGGCTGCCGCTGCTACCCCCGGCTGGGAGAGCCTGTGCTCTCATTTAGCCACACTTGGGATGCTGGTGTGCAAGAGTCACCACTGCGAACACAAATCCATGCAGAAAAGGGCCTTCAGTGAGCCGGTACTCTGTGCAAAGCCCAATTCATCACCCCCGTCCGCTCAGCCGCCCCGGGGAACAGCCACAGCAGCTGCTCACTCTCTGCTCAGACGTGTTGAGAGATGTCTGTAGGGTCTGGACGTCCCAGGTGTCCATCCTCCTCAGGTAGCACGTATGCTGCTCCATGGGCTTGTAGCACACATAGCCCTGTGAGACAGATCATGTCCCCTTACAGCAGGCAGTGGCATGCACCCGCAGCTGTCTTAAGAGCCATAAAAATGGACATTCCTCCTTTTGCCCTGCGTTCTCTTTCCTAACTAAAGGTGCAGAGAAAGGCACCAAACAGTAGCTGGTTGATGTTTTTCCTGGCCTGCACCTCCCGCTCCCACCCCAGCAGCTCTTCTCTTAGCAGCCTGGGCTCCTCTGCTCACTTCCACGCTAGCGAGGCAGGTAATTATCCCAACACACTTACGTTCCTGCTGTCATACAGCACCACACTGGTGTGGTTACTCTGCGAGGTTACGTAGTAGGTCACGGTGCTCCTGGACTTGTCCACCAAGGCTGTCTGGTTCCTCAGGGGGTCTTGCTGGCCCTGGAGCGTTAGCCGGACGAGCTGCGAGCCAGCCTGGGCACAAAGAGAAGGAGGGCAGCACCAACCATCAGCTGTTCAGTGCTCGCAGGCAGCGTCTCCCCGCCGACATCCCCACCTGGACCCTTCGCCGGCTTGCCTGAATTACTTAGCAACAGAGAGAAGCAAGCTCTGACCCAAGGGAGGGGAGCAGATCCATGAAGCAAACCGCTCTCCATCACACGGGGCTGGGGGAGACGTGCCAGTGCCCCTCACGCCGAAGGCACCCACCCTGCCTGGCAGCAGGGTGCTGGAGGAAGGGCCAGGGGTCTTGCCAGCCTCTGCCGCAGCCACGTGCAGGGGGAGGCTGGGATCTGCCTCTCCAGCCAGCACAGCTTGCTGGCATCAAACGGGCTCCCCCTCCTTGCCTCAGAGGCCACAGCCACATGTTGGAACGTGCCTGCTTCGCAAAATACCAGCTTGTGGCTATATTTACAAGCAATGCACTGAAGCTCCTCTAATTTAAGCAACGGTTTCTGGCAGGCGCGTTGCAGGGGTGAGACAGGCGCTGCTCAGCTCGCTGCCTGCAGCGCTGCCAGCACCCTCCTGCCCTTCTGCCTGCAGGCTGCCTGCATCTTCCAGAGACCGGAATCGCCCAAACCCAGCCCTGATCCCAGCTCATTCATCTCTCCCAACAAGTGTTTCTAACAAAAATAAGGGCTGCGGGCAGGAGGCGGCTTCCTGCTCGATCGGGATCCCTTACCTGGGCAGCGCTGGGGGAGAAGCTGAGAACCCCCACGACGCTGATGCCAACTACTGCAAAAAACAAGGCAATGGACAAGATGATCCAGAACGTCCTGGATGGAGTTGTGAAGTGTGCTGCGGCCCTCCTGTCCTGGGAACCAAGGCAAAAAAAGGAAAGAACAGGAGTGAAAATCAACCCTTCTGCTGGTTATTCTTCTTCACCATGAAATGTACTTCCCGCTTGTGACTCAAATCATCGTGCAAACTGCTGGTGTTTGAGTGTAGAACTGCCAGAACATCGCAGCAGCCCCGGAATAATGTTGCTTTTATCCCACAGTGCTGGAGTTTCAGATCCGACATCCTGGTAACCAGCACTCCCACAGTTGAGCACTTTCCTCCTGCAGCCAGGGAAGCACGCAAATGCTGCAGACCCACTGAGGAATGGCTGCAGCAGGAAGCTTTCCACAAACAGGGGCTGCTGCTGCTGCTGTGATTTAGCAACAAATTAAATTATTTTGTTTTATAGCAGAAATCCCCAGGAGAACCATCAGCATTCGAAACAGATCCCATGCAGAGTGATCCTGCTTCCTTGCCCCAACGTGCATTTCGTGGTTTTTTATTTTCCTGATGAGTTGTTCTCCACGCAGACCAAGCTGTTACTTGAAGCAAAAAAGCTTGGTAGTTGTGTGGCACTTCTAGTGGCTCTAATAAAACTTACTTTAATTCTTATATTGAAACAATTAAATTTAACTTAATGGCATATAAAATTATTTTTACAAACCGGAAAGAATGCACTTTCAATAATCTCAACTGTACAGCCCACACTTAAGAAACCTAATCTGTTTCTCAATCCTCTAAAGCACATAAAGAAATTCAATAAATGCCCATGGTTAGATTTGCTACAGCCACACAAGGAAGGGGCTCTTCAAGCCTCTGGGTCAGTTACTGATCTTTTTCGGTAATAGGTAACGTCCAGATATATTCCACCAGAAAAGCAGTGAGTCTTAATGAAATTAAAACTGTGCAAAGCTGAACGCTTCTCAATTCAAACGCAATAGAGCCCAAGCCCTACAGTAATGGGCAAGTTTTCTATAGCTAACAAAATTCCCTTGGGTGGGAAAGGTGCAAATAAAGAAATCCAGTGACTCCTGTCCCTCGGCAGGCCGCAGTTCACACATGCACATGCATCCCGAGCAGCTCTGCAGCACGCAAGCAGGGGTTCTTTGGCACCTCTAACCTGACCTGCCTTGTTACATGACTGGTTTATGCCGTGTAAGTCCGGGCACTTACAAGAAAATCCAGGTGACAGAGTCAGCTGCCTTACAAGGAGCTGAACTGTGGGGTGCTGAGGTTGGGCATGAACAAAATCTTACCAGGACCCATGGGAACAGCAGGAGCTCAGCCCCTTCCAAAGAGGAATCAAGCAAGCACAGAGCGGGGACTCTCTCTGTGATACCTGAGGGACCAGGGATACTCACTGCAGAGACAGCATCGCCAGTGCCAGTCCTACCCTCCATCCTCCACTTCAGATGAGGAGCTCGCTCCTGCAGCTCTGCCTCCTGACAACACACAGACTGTGCATCATCCCCAACTCCAGGCACACCTGGGAAACCTAAGCGTGCATCCGCGAAACGTAAATACGTGTCTGTCTTGGCCAAAGGGCTTCCCAGCCAGGAGTTCCTCAACTCAGATCTACAGGGAGGGTGAAACCGTAGAGTTGCCACCTGGGGAGGGGAGAAGGGAAAGGGGGGTAAAACCCAGGTCTGCTGAGCGATGCTATCAGTGCATAAAACCGCTCTTCCTGCTCACCTTGCGAGCCGGCTGGCGGGGGGCAGGTGGATGACAATCGGGGGCTTTGTGTTGGTCCTCCCTGCTGGCAGGCCCTAATAGCAGGACTGGGTAAGTCTCATTAAGAGACACAATGAATAGAGAAAAGTGGCAGCCTGCCCTTGTCATCAGTTATTTCTACATTTCAACGTGAACTTTGTGCTGCCTGAGCTCTGTGGGCTGCAGCCAACTGTTTATCCTGCAGACTGCTGCCCTGCAAGCCTTGGCTGCACAGACACGCTTGTGTTCCACCTACAGACCTCGCTTCCTTCAGACCCCGGGGAAAAAGGATCTCTGCTACAAAGTCATCACCATAACCTGAGCTGCGCTCATGCCAACACCCATGTCCCGTGATGAGAAACACCCCGCGGGGAACAGCGTTCCCAGGTCGCCAGACCGTGGTTTTTCTCCACAGTCCGGGAGCCCCTGAGAGAGCTTTGTGTTTTTGAGACCTGCCAGCCAGACGTAACCTGAATGGAGGCAAGGAAAAGCTCAAGAGAATTCCTTCACATGGTGTCTATCAAGGGAAAATACAGCTTTTAGACATTTTCACATCAAGCATGGCCCAGGACTGATCAAACTCGGCCAAGAGGGCAGTTCATCCCAGAATTTCTCATCATCAAAGTACTAGCAATCCCTCTCCCCACTCAGCCTCTTTCCTTCTGCAAGTCAAACATGAGCTATTTCGCTAGAAGATCACCATCTCATCCCAGCACGCTGCTTCTGTGGGACGTGAACTCAAACTCTGGACAAATACACACCTGAAGGCTGCAGCCAGCGAGAGTCGAACCACCATCATGGTCACTGCTTTACAACAGCAAAACCGAGAAGGCAAGTCCGCAGCGTCCTGTGCTGCAGCTCTGACGAGAACAGGAACCATGTTGAAACGGTCAACCCACCAGTTCTGCTTCTGCAAACAGACACTGGAGAGCTGGCAGCGCTCCTCACAGAATAGCCTGCTAGCTGGCTTCTGGTGCAGCAGAGCTTAGCTCAAGAAATTTGAAAAACAAGCTGTGACACGCACACAGGGTGTTCTCTCCCCAGAGATTTTAACAGCCACACAGCGGACACTTTCTCACTTTAATTTATACCCTGCCCAATATAAGGCACAGGAACGAAGCAAAACCCTCTATGAAACAGTTTGTGAAAGGATTATTGCATTCTGCTCTGTGCTGTACTCTTACTCAAAGAGGCAAATCCCAGCCCACGCTAAGAGCCCCAGACAGCTCTGGGACCTGAACCAAAGAAATACACTCCAGGATTTGGATTTCTTTCCCTGATACTGCATGTGAGGAGTAAAGATGATAAACACAAACTGCATCCCTAACTCCAGAAACGTCCACACAGTACAGCTGCAGCAAACCTCCCAGAGAAGACTACAAAATAAGACAACGCCAGGGGAAAGCAGGTTTGTAAGTTTAATGTGAATTCAAGTAGAGGCTTAAAAACCGTTTGGAAGTTGATACAGAGTTTTGAAGCACGATTGACACCTTCGCCAGTACATCTCAGCATACGTGAATCGAGGTAATGGTTCCCTTGTACAGTGCAGAGTACTTGGCAGGGACAGTGCGATGCTTGAACAAGGCTAAACACCTCTCCTGGCGTTTACTACTTGACTTGACATATTCTGAAATTATAAGCACCAGATACAGGAACTGAATCAAAGAACACATCGCTAAGTCAGACCCTACCTGCAGTAAATCCATAATGTCCATTTCCACGTTACCCAGATAAAGTGGAAGTTCTATCTGTAAGTATTTCTCTGTGACTCCACACAGTCACAGCCCTCCAGCTGGAGACAGGAACAGGGAAGAGATTATCCGCGCTTCCTTACACAACTCTGAGTTACAAACGAACACCCGTTTACAAGAGCAGCTAATCTGGTAACACCAAAAGACAGTATGAACTGCATGGTTATTGCTGTACAGACAATGTGGCAAGTCTACTCGTTTCAAGTGCCTGAGTGGAAGGAAATGGCGTCGACACACTGCTAGAGCTATCCAGCTGAACAGTGGGAGATGAAGGAAGGCCAGTGTTCAAATTTAACTACCGATAGTGGAATCTATGGAATAAAAGCATGTTATTTGCATATATAATTTTTCACTTAATTCTGTAACACAAAAGCTTTCAACTGTGGCCTTCAATTTAGCCAGCATAAAAACCTACCCCGTAGCCTGAGCTGTGCATCACCCAAACCCGCCTCAAGATCACAATGAAATCATCACCTGAGCAAGCAAGCACTCCTCTTCAGACAAGCAACTGGTGCCAGGCCCCCTTACCAGACACACGTGGAAGATATTATTAACCCCAGCTATTTAAAGGAAGCACGTGCCATCATCACACACAGCCAGTACTCTCACAGGATTATTTCGGTGGAAAGCCGTACTGTGTACTGCATCCATCCCCTGCGGACTGAGCGTCAATTCAGATTCTGCAGCTAAAGCCAAAGTGAGCGGCTATTTTGATGCTGAGGGAAGCACAAGAACTAACTTGGTACTAATCGATCCAGTTATTTCTGGGAAGCAGCAGTAGTGAAGGACAGTCCTATGTGGATACAGACTTTCTGCATTATCAAATGCAAAAGCTTAGGAGAATTAAATCTACTGTGATCAGTGAAGTACATTCCTCTTATCCTCCCTTCTGGGAAACAAGATATATTACCATATACTATACTTAAATTTATAATTTAAATATATTCTGATATATATTTAGGATCAGGGTAGTTCTTGTATGTACATGTACTTTACACATACATCCAATGCTTGGACAAATACAGTATACAGAAGACACTGTTTCTATTTTGTGAGTGGAATCATCCTAATCCGCATCACAAGTGCAATTTGCAATGGTCAAATAAAGGAGACAGATTTCAGCTTCTGCGACTGGATGTTGCGCTTGCAGTGGGCTGTACTACTAAACAGGACCCCATCCGGAAAAAAAAAGGCGGGGGGAGGGAGGGGAAATCAGTCTAAAGCCAAACACTAATTCTGCCAGCCACCGCAAGCATTTCCAAACACAGCTGCTAAGTTACTACACACTCCAAGAGTCATTTCCCTGAATAAACCAGACTGAGCCACAGCCTGTCCAGGTGAGGACACACCGCAAGACATTGGGTTCTTTTCCTCAGATCAACCAGCTCTACTTTCCTCAACTCAGTCTAGAGGACAACGTGACATCGAGTATCACAAACATTTGGATAGATGTGTTGCTTATAATTTAAAAAAACCCAAAACCCAAGCCACCAAGGCTTGGGTGACACCATAATGCCCTCTTTGTTTCAAAGTGCATTTAAAGACTGAGATGTAAACAACATCGTATCGAGAGGACAGGAAGGTTAAAAAGCTAAGGGTTACTAACTCTGGGTGGTATCCTAGCAAGTACGTTACTGCCACAGGGTGATTAACAGGGGCCCTCCTTGGGGTAGTGCTGCAGAGGCTGCAAGCATTTTGCTCTATTAATCCCCCAGTGCTGGGAGAAGGTCGGCTATGCTATCGACATAGTAATCGGGAACCAGGCTCTGCCTGGCAGGACAGTCGCTCTGCTGGTGGCCCTTCACTTCGTCCAGCGTGGTGACCCCGGTAAGCGTCAGCAGGGTGGTGAGCCCGCAGCTGTTGCCCATGAGGATGTCTGTGTCCAGCCGATCTCCCACCATGATGGTACGAGCGGGATCGATGTCGAACTCGCTTGCCACGCAATCAAACATGTACCGGTTGGGCTTTCCTACAATGAACGCCTCGCGCTGGGCTGCCGTCTCCACTGCTTTTACCAGGCAGCCAGTCCCTAGGGAGAGAAGAGAAAAAAAACCACTGATTAGAGACTGCAGAAGACTCTCTGTGCCCGCAGGGGCTGGTGCAAAACCGCACGGCGCAGCTTCACAGACGGGACAGGCAGAGGAATAGGTCAGCGCCAGGAGGCGGGAATGCCGTCCCGCATCGAGATCAAAAAGGAACCGCTACTCCCCGAGTACAGATCAACATGGATTCTTCCTCTTTCAGGGGGCTGCAGGGAGGAGGAGGCCCAGATGCCCCAGGACTCACCACGGGCAGCTTTGAACGGGCCGGGGCAACCTCCCCGCACCCGCCGGGCGGCAGACGAGGCACCGGCCGCCCCCCACCC